AAAATGATCAGCGAAAAATTCTCTACAAACTCTGATATGAAAGAAAATCTTCAGACTATCCTTTTTACTCATTTATGCGTAAAAACAAAAAAGTACATGCTTTTTACGGCCCGCACTGTATCATCTACTCGGAAAAATCGTTTGAATGTTTTTTTACTGGTGATGAATGAATTGTTTAAAATTCTGAGCTATATTCGTGAATCCATATGTGTGTGAAAGAAACTTCTCATCATTAAAAAAGAATCACACTTTATCTTTGAAATATAACAGGACAAGATCGTTTATAAGAACTTGCATCACTGAACATTGAACGTGAAGTTCATATTAATTATGATGAACTTATAAAAGAATTCATAAAATTAAAGAACCAGAGGAAAATAATATTTTAGTTTTGACTGATAAAGAGTTTTCTATCATGAATTTATAGTGTCCTTTTGTTCATGTCAAGTTTCAAGAGCAATGCAAAAATAAATATAAAAAAAGCCATTCGAACAACAGTCGAGATCGCTTAGTATGAGACAAAAAATCGATAAAAAAAAAGATTTGAAACTGCATCTTTTTTTGTTCAATTCGGGTGCTTTTCGAAACCTATTGTCACGCCAAAAAAGAAGACTCTCATCCGTTACTGTTTGCTTACCCAAACAAAATACAGTCATTACTCAACTTACAGTTTCAAAGAAGACCAAAATCTAATGTATACTAAAAACAAAACGTAATTGTGAAAACTTCTAATGAAGAAACGAATGTTGGATTGGAAAAGAGGATAAAAAACGAAGAATTAATATAAGTACACGAGAAGAATTCAACATCAGACATAGTACAATCGTATCATTATGAGAACAACTACAAATGTATTTTAAAACACAAGAAAAGCGTTAGTAATTAGCAATCAAATAAATTAGAAGAGGAGACGATATTTGTAAAGTTTTTTTTTTTCATTATTTCTACATATAAAAGAAATCATCAATAAAAAATACAATAGAAATGAAAGAAACAGAGAACGAAAAACAATTAATGGAAGAATAGGATGATAATAGGGAAATGAATGAAGAAAAAACGCTCACCAAGTAAAATTTCATTCAATTTTACCATCTTGTTCGTTCCACTATCGACAAATAGTAAAATGAAAGCAAAAAAGAAAATAGAAAACAATGTTTTGTACATTAATTTTAGATGAATATATATCATTATATAGTTTGATGAAGTGAGCTTTGTTGAACGAAACAGCATGCATTTTAAAATAAATAAAGAAAACAACAGAAAGAAAGAAAACTATGAAAAACAATTTAATATAATCTTCCTCAATGCTCGCCACTTTCGAAAGAATTACCCAGTACGTTTTTTAGTAGTAGTTTTGATAGTGACTCCTTTGGTGGTGATTGTAGTTGAAGGTCTTGTAATGGTAGTTATAGCTGTAGATACCGAACAGCAGTACAAATTTCGAATTGCTTGGATGTTATATGGACTTCAAGCGTTACGTTGCCCAAATGTGACATTCGAAACAAGTGTCACTAAGGTATCGGAACCATTTGCACTCAAAACAAAAGTTTTTATCATAGTGCATTATTGAGTCAAAATCATAAGGTATATTCGAAGTATTCGCTTCACTGGTATCATATTTTTGAAAGTTAATTTCCATACCTATTTAATGTTAAAAAATCAAAATAGTTTTGTTATTTTTCAACCATAATTTTAATGAAGCAAAATTTGTATAACCTGGTATTTTATTCTTCGAAATGACTTTGACGTAATTATCGCGATCTGGTCGTGATTATTCATGATAGAAGCCTAAATTTATGTAAAATTATATATGTTATCATACTCTTTTTAAATAATAAGAATTCTACTTCACTAGCATCGATCGATATAGGCAATGTTTATCACACATAGTAATTAATATCAAATTCAAAATGAAGAGTTTTATATCGAACTATACTTTAGATCAATATTGTCTTGTGGGTAAAGTGGCAAAGCAAAAGTATCGAAAGAAAACTTCTTGTAACTGACACTTCTTAAGTACTAGACGAATATTAATCAGATTCAATATACAACGGCATTTATTTTTAAAAACAGCATTGGCTTTAAGGGAAAAATCACACGTATGGCATCCTTCACACCTATCAGTGCGCCAGCACCTTAGCATCTTTCAATGATTTTGGGTGCTGATGTGCTTTCGTTTTCCCCTTGCATTAGCATCAATGACATTTCGCTTGAAGAAACTTCACTTGAACAGAATTAATTGAATATCAAAGAGAAATAAGAGGAAGATAATTTGAGAAGTAAAAGAGATTTGTTTCATATATTTCATTAATCCAAAATTTTTACACAAAAATTTTAACAAGTAATTTTCAAGCTGGATGTTAATCGACTTTTTGAATTTTTTTCTCCTATAATTCGATGAGAACTGCCGTCTTGTGTCACAAAAACTTGACTCTTTTTGCAACTTACATCGTAGAGAAATATTCCAAAAAAATCAAGCTAAAGTTTTTCTCTGTTCGAGAGAAAACCGTGTTTTGTTAACAAAATGTGTAGAGCGACATTTTTTGAAGTATTCATACACTAAGACTGATTGATATATGAGAATAGCATTCAGATAACGGCTCCAACTCGAGGAAAGGTTGCGAAAATATTCAACAGTTAGTTTTCTTTTATTATTAAATTTATATTTATGAATGTTTTTTCTCCAAAGGTGCAATGAGTGTGTTCTTCACTCGTATATATGATTACATGACATACAGCACGCGAGAAAAATAAGTCAAGAATGAAAATCACCTATATTGCCTTTTTTTTTGCTAAGGACACGTCCCTGATCATGAATCATTCATGTTCGTATTCACACTAATGCAATGCATATCTAACTATATGTTGTCCTAGATAGACGACAAGTACGTATTGATTGTAGTATTTTCTTTGATATTAGCAGAAAATCTTTCATAAAAGTCAAATGTTTCTTTTTCGTTCTTCACGGACAACTTTTCATAAGCATGCACATATGAGTATAAAAATACAAACTTATGATTACGTAGTTAAGAGAACACATGTATACTAATTGTTACTTGTTTTGATTTGTTTTCTTTTGTTTTTTTTTTGTTTCACTTGAATATATTCTATACTATGTAATTTAGAATGAATAATAAAATATTTTAGTAAGCAAAAGATTTTTCATTTTATTCAGTCATTAGATTGCCACGTGTAAAAAAAACATTTTCATTTGTGAGGATCAAAACACCTGGTGTGTAGAATCATATAAGCAAACGTAGAGACCAAACATAGGATTTAAGAGAAAAGAGCACTTCTCGAGTATTCTTCATCTTCTTCTATAGTTTATAAATCTGCGTACTACTAGTCAAGAATACATGCTGTTTTAATCATATGTTTATTTTTGTCGTTTCTTATCTGATAAAGGCATAAAAATAAGCATGTCAATTTCAATTTTATTTCTCAAACATTAATTATCACTCAACAGACTCTGTGATTGTGTCGTCTATAATGTCACCGGATTTTTACGCATATGAAAATGAAACTCAAATTAGTATGGATCTTAAATGTTCCATATGTCTTGATCCTTTTCAATTACCTTTATGCGATATTTATTGTGGTCATATTTTTTGTTTTCAATGCATCAAAACATGGCTTGGACAAAAGCAATCATGTCCTGTATGCCGACGATGTTTTACTAAATTTGTACGTATTACTGACGAAAGACTACTTAAAGAACTTGATCATCTATTGGTCAAATGCTTGTATTGTAATGAAACAAATATCAAACGAGGTAAGTTTAACGATCATATAACATATGAGTGCTCAAAACGAATAGTTCTTGATCGTGTGAAAAATAAAGAAAGTCTTCGAAAACATTTTCATCAAGAATATTTATTAAGAAGAATAAATGAATCAATTGAAATTAGTAGAAGACATCGACAGAATTATGAACAATCGAATTTTACTTCATTACCATTATGGATCATTATTATTTCAGCTGTTCATTTATTTATTTATGTGTCTGTATTTATTCCAATTGCTGCTCTATTGAATATTACTGATGTTTTTATCTGTCTTTTTCGTTATACTATTATTTGGCTAATTCATATTATAAAGTTACGACTATAACATTTGAAAATAAAAAAACAACAATTTTTTTCTTTCCGTCATACTTGTTTTATTTTTATTTTTAAAAAAATAGAGTACTCAAGGATTTGTATCTAGATTCACGAATCAATTTGTTATTAACTTAAGTCATTATTGAAAGTTGAAAGACTATTTTCGAAATATAAAAGCTTCATAGCATACTAATATGTAAACTGATATTTCTGCCCATTGTTTCAACTAGACAAGAGAGAAAAATTATCTTTCTATCACTATTTGTTTCCATTGTTAAAAGGAGACGTCACCTAGAAAATATAACTTCTACAGGGTATATTAGATATTGATGAAATTTTGGATAGATGTTCAGTTTATTGAAGTACTTTAGCCCCCCCCCCCTCAGAAAAGTCAATTTTGATCAAATTTATCGATTTTGTGATTTATAACTCATTAGATAGAGCTAAGTGTCTACTCTCGAATGCACTATAGTTGATTGATTTTATCATGAGA